GCAATGCGAAATGAAAATCGCAATGCGGAAATGAAAATCGCAATGCGTTTATAATTTCGCATTGCGATTATCTCGTTGCGATTTTCATTTCGCATTGCGATTTTCATTTCGCATTGCGATTCTTTCGTTGCGATTTTCATTTCGCATTGCGATTTCATTTCGTATTGCGATTTTAATTTCGCATTGCGATTATGTCGGTTCGATTTTCATTTCGCATTGCGATTTTCATTTCGCATTGCGATTCTCTCGTTGCGATTTTCATTTCGCATTGCAATTTTCATTTCGCATTGCGATTCTCTCGTTGCGATTTTCATTTCGCGTTGCGATTTTCATGTTGGGATTTTCATTTCGCGTTGCGATTGTATTTTCCGTGTTGCGATAGTCAAATGCATGCCTAATAGTGATAACAACTGAATAACAAGAGTTGGTTAAGTCAAATGGTTGGCCTGAGTCATTAATTCAACTGAAAATGTTAAAAGTTCACACATAAAATCCACATAATACAACGTTTGCATATGAGCTTTTGATGGCAACGTTTACATAATACACATAAATGTTAAATGTTAAAACGTTACATAATACAACTGAATAACAACGTTTACATAATACAAAGTTCACACCATATGAGCTTTGGATTTTGATGAGGATCCATTTGGTAGAGGAAAAGATGATTTTGATGGCACTGGTGATCCACATCAACCTTGTATGACCACTTTCCTTGCACCGACTACATGTCGATCTCTTCTTCTCTTCACCCTTAGACGGTATACGATCGTGACTTTTTGGTCAGCCAGGTAGCCTTCTGTCCATGGCTGTGGCAAAACTTTGTAAGTCATCTGGTATGTCCCACTCAGAAGGATGTGGAATAGGGTAGACAATCTCGGCATAAGTCTGTCGATAAACTTCTGTAGTGTAGCAATCCATAGCGTATGCGCTTGAATCATCTTGGTTAAATGAAGAGCAACTTTATAACATGGCCACACGGATAACCAATGTTTGCCATTTCATACAACTACACGTCTTTGCATTTAGATCGACTAGCCCATTTAAGTTATTATCCAGTACTTGAAACAAAGTGTTTGAACATGGTTCAACTCTCCATGACGTTGACTTCACAACACGTTTCGTTATCTTTTTTTCAGTCCATGGTGTAACACGATGTTCCAATGTTCCTGTAAATTTAAATAAACAATACTTAGTAAAATATAAATATGATAAGTTACGAATTCAAAGAATAATACCTGCATGGTTTCTTTTCTTGTAGTACCACTGTTGATAGAGGCTCGAAAAAACTCCATTAACATAGTAATGGGTAATTTCCGGGAATGACGACTTAGAGCGTTGATTGATTCTGCACTATTAGACGTCATGAAACCATATCTTGCTCCAAGTGATGTACTCTTGACCATCTTTCAAACCCGACATCTTCTAGTGTTTGAGCACACTGAGGCAAAACACGTCTTAACAATTATATGCTTATTGAAATCCACTTCCCGATAAGCTTTACAGCCTTCCAGTATGTCCATTTGTGCTTTTTTATACCAGCAGACCTTGATTTTAGATTTCTATACAAATGAACACCACAAAGTCCATGAAAAGCATCTGGGAAACACCTTCTAACAGCGTTGTCAATTGAGTTTGCCCTATCGGATATGATTGTCAGATTGCTAATAGGACCTATGCAATCCCTAAGATGCCCCATAAACCATGTCCATGAATCAGAGGTTTCAGATTTGCCAACCCCGTAAGCTATTGGCAATATCCCATGTTAGCATCCATGGCTACTGCTAATAAGTTTACTCCAAGGTATCGACCTTTCAAATGTGCTCCGTCAACTATAATAACTGGGCGCATGCAAGTAATAAACGAACGAATCTACAAAATAATATACACAAGAAATAAATCATTTAAATGTGAAATGCATGTAACTAACAAAATGAGTCAACAAAATTATATTGATTTACTAACCGTAGCACCAATGGCGATAAACAGCAACTCAAGCGTCCATCTCTATCTGTTTTGATATGAGTTACCGACCCAGGATTTTTCAGCTTTAAATTGTGACAATAAGCCGGCAGTTGGGCAAACGATGCTTCTGGCGACCCCCTCAACAATTCCAAGGCATAACATTTGGCTCTCCAAGCTTGAGAATATGATATACTAATCTTGAACCGAGCATTCATGTCAGTCATAATTTCATGTCCCCGATATACCCTGCCATTCAAAAACATTAACTCAGCCAGAAAACCACCCAACACCTTTTTGTTTGCCTGTCTATGGTGAGGAAAAACTTGGGTTCTTGAACATGTTGTTTATCAATAAAAGTCCTAACTTGAAACATTTTGCAATCTTTTATTCTCTTTGCAATCATACGCCACGTACAGTTTTTGTCAATCATACACCTTGTTTCGAAACGATCTTTGCTTGATTTGTTAACTTTTAGTTGATAGCCATCTTCCACACATTTCGTATATAAAGCTATCTTCAAGTCTTCCTTTGTATCAAAACAATCATCTTTCTTGATACGAATAACTTTTGTGTAACAATCAACTGCTTTCTTTATCAACTCTTCTTCCGGTATCTGAAGTATTCTGGCATATTCCAGTTATACGCCCGTGGCATTTTCTTTTCTTCGGGACTTTTTCTTCTTCTTTTTCTTCTTCAGGATTATATGAATTACAGAATGGATGTTCAACATGTTCATTCACAGTCGTAACTTCCTCCTCATTATCATCAACATTACATTCTTCGGCAACGGCTGTTTCATCATCAAAATTCGGTATTGACCATATCAATATCATTACACGCATGGTCTGTTTCTTCTTCTGAAACATCATCAAAATCCGTGTATTGACCATATCAAGTCCGGATATTGACCAAGACCAAATTTCGAATACTGACTAGTACTCACAATTTTTTCTGTTGGCTCATCATCGTCTAACTGGTCAATACGAAAACCGAATTTGGTGCTGAAAGTTGATTGGATTTGGATTAGAGAAAGGTTGGGTTTTGAGAAAAACTTAGTTGATTACTACCCGCTACTGACCCAACAATACTACTTCTAGGTTCAACAACATACAATGTACATCATCTTGTGAAACACTAATGTAAGCAATGAATCGTTCACATCTTCATTGTCGGTAACAAATAAACTTTACCATTTCTCTGATAAGATAGCCTAAATCCACTTAGGGGCTCTAAATTCAATTTATTTGAAACACGTAGCATTAGAGTTTCATAAGTTAACTTTTGTAAAGACAATTTTAGTTGAAGATTTATGGGTAAAGGCATATATTGTAAAACACCATTAACATTATCCATGACCCTCCAAAACACAAATCTATCCAAACATGATCAACATTAGATGATTTCATGGTTGTAACTAAACAAACGAGATGCGAAACTAAGACCTGTTGCCGGATGGGGAAGGATGTCGTTGGATATAGGAACGGATGTCGCCGGAGAGAGTGATAGATGGAGATGGAATGAGTTGCGATTTAGGGATTTAGTTTATGATTTCAGTGTTATATACCCAATTTCAGTGTTGTGATTTACAGATTCTCGTTGCGATTTACGGATTATCGTTGCGATTTACAGATTCTCGTTGCGATTTACGGATTATCGTTGCGATTTACGGATACGCGTTGCGATTTACGGATTATCGTTGCGATTTACGGATACGAGTTGCGATTTACGGATACGCATTGCGATTTACGGATACGCGTTGCGATTTACGGATACACGTTGCGGTTTACGGATACGCGTTGCGATTTACGGATACGCGTTGCGATATACGGATACGCATTGCGATTTACCCATACGCGTTGCGATTTACGGATACACGTTGCGATTTACGGATACGCGTTGCGATTTATGTGTTCGCGTTGCGATTTTCATATTCGCGTTGCGATTATGGAAAATCGCAATGCGAATTGTACTATCGCATCGCGATTTTCAAGAATCGCGTTGCGATTCTGGAAACTTATTTCGCGTTGCGATTTTGTTGGTCATTTGGCAAATCCAAAAAAAGTTGGTTAAATCGTATATTATAACTTTTTTTTGGTCACTGAGGCGATTTTCTCTTATTTTTAAACATTATATTATATACTACTAACCTAGATGGCCCATTTTTTGTCTTATTTCTTACTAAAGCCCCCCACTTTCGGTGAATTGGGAGGGTAGCTTTTCTATTTTAAATTTGGTGTATATATATAGCTTATTTATTTTATTAATACTTGATATATATATATATTTATATTTTTTTTTTTTCAAATATTATTATATATAATTATTACTTTACTATTTTTTTTCTTCTCTTACTTATTTATTTTATTTATTTTATTTTTCTCTTGTATCTTATTTGTTTTCTTTACCTTGTTTATCTAACACATTTCTCGATTTTTTTAAAGGATATTTTCAAATGGGCGGTTCAAGAGTGCTATCCTTCCTTGACCGTAACCGACTCTCGAGCCCGACATATTTCTGGTAAGACGCAGATCAGGTAAGAAATAGGGTATCCGATCAACCCATTTATTTTTAAATAAATGATCGGTGGCGACTCCAATCCATATTTTTCTAACTCGAAGTCAAATTCCGGGGTCCAACTGAAAGACGGTTGCGACAATAATTAAATTAATAGAATTTTTAAATATTAGAAATAAAGTATTTTAAATATTAAAAATAAAATATTTTAAGTTAAAATTAAATTGCTAGAATATTATATTAGCATTCCCTGATCCTACGAAAATTAAATGTATTGTCAACGCCACCACTTTCCTGGATCTGAATATCTTGAGTTTTGTTTCTTACTTGGATTGATCTGTCCTTTAATACTCCCATTTAGAACAACTCAGTGGATTAAGTTGGCCAACTTCAAGCTTGATTATTGTTTGTGTTGTACCTTCATTTGACATGTCTTTCTCCCCGTCTCTCATTTTCACTTCAAGTTCTATATTTTTTTTACTGGAACCCCATTTTTCAAGGATTTCCAAAACTTTTCATCTTGAAGATCCATAATTTTTACTAAACCCCATGTTATAGGATTCAACAGAGTTTTGTTCAATCTTTGAAAACCCAGACTTGTTTTTGGATTTTTTATTCTGGGTTTTGCTTCTTCTTCTTCTTCTTCTTTTAGATTTCTTTATTGATTGATTCATGGAGTCAAGATCCACTGTTTATTCCATTCTTCTTCTAATTTGCTCAACTTGTTCTTTTTCTTTTGGGGATCAAACTTTGGATAGAATCACTGAGTTGCCTGGACAGCCAAAGAACGTTCAATTCTGCCAATATTCAGGGTATGTGACAGTGAATCAACAAGCTGGGAGGGCATTATTTTACTGGTTGATAGAGTCACCACTGAGCCGTAAGCCCGAGTCAAGACCACTGGTTTTATGGCTCAATGGAGGACCTGGTTGCTCTTCTGTTGCTTATGGAGCAGCTGAAGAAATCGGTCCTTTCCGAATTAGACCCGATGGAAAGACCCTTTACTTGAATCGTTATGCCTGGAACAACTGTAAGTCTTTTATCATGTTTTGTTTTTTTTTTCTTCATCCTATTTTGTGTTCTGTGTGAGTTTCATTTAACATTGTTTTCTTTGAATTGTTGTTTAGTGGCAAATGTGCTTTTCCTTGAATCTCCTGCTGGTGTCGGTTTTTCGTACACGAACACGACATCAGATTTATACACAACTGGTGACAAGAGAACTGGTAATTCATTGCTTGTATCTTGATAATCTGATATCCATAATGTAGTTATAAATTGAACATATCTTAGACATGTACCTGAGCCCAAGCAACATACCTGTGGTTTGTTCTGTCGAATTTTGAAGAAATTGGTTCATATGGTTGTGTTGTTAAGATATAAAGAGATTATATGTTGATATCTTTAGATGCGTTCAAGATCTGGGTGCTTTTTTTTTCGTAACCGGAAGTAGGCATGCATAACTGAAAAAACTAGGAAAAAAAATCGAACATATAACACCTCGGACACATGCCAGTCAAAGTAACATAGATGTGGTTAGTTTAACCTATTTTTTAGGTTCGTGGTTTATATTCTATGAGACAATTTTTTTACGTGAATTTGCAGCTGAGGATGCATATGCTTTTCTGGTTAATTGGTTTGAAAGGTTTCCACAGTACAAGCATAGAGATTTCTTCGTTGCTGGTGAAAGTTATGCAGGTTTTTACTTTAATCCCAGTTATTTTTACTGCAATGTTTATTTTTTATTTACCTCAAGATTAAGCTAAAGGACTAATCTAATTTCAGGTCACTATGTTCCTCAATTGTCTCAACTTGTCTATGAAAGAAACAAAGGGGTCCCTAATCCTGTTATCAATTTCAAGGGATTTTTGGTGAGAATGACTCCGATTATTTTTTTGAAGCATCCGTGCCCGACACCTGTGTCCTATGCATATCTGGACATGGAGAAATTTAGAAATTAGTGAATATAACTGTATAGGACACACCTATATCCGGCGCTCTCCGAGTATCGTAGGACATGATTGCAACTTCAATTGTTGTTATCAGCAGATGACTTATGCTATGCTGTTTGATTATAATAGGTTGGAAATGCTGTAACCGATGACTACCACGATTTTGTTGGCACATTCGAGTACTGGTGGACGCACGGTTTGATTTCTGATTCAACTTATCGAAGTTTACGAGTTGCCTGTGACTTGGGATCCTCCACACATCCATCTCTGCAATGCATGAATGCTCTTCGAGCTGCTCAAATCGAGCAGGGAAACATTGATCCATATAGCATCTTCACTCAACCTTGCAAAGATACCGCAACTTTAAGGCGCAACACAAGGGGTCATTATGTAAGTTTACTATCAATTTTCCTTTTTCTCACCCTATCAACAAAGTAATGAGGCTTTTCCATTGATCTATGAATCTTTGCATCATTTTGTCATTTGATGTATCAGTATTCTAGCATAGATTTACAAAAACAAGATGCATTTGAAGTTTAATCTTCGTATCCAGTCTTGTTTCTTTAATGGTTTCGGTTAGGGGTGTATTTGGTTCGGTTCGGTTCGGTTTTTTTACCAAAAATTGAACCGAACCAAAATAAACGGTTTTTCAAAATTTAAACCGAAACCGAATGATTAAAAAACCGAAACCGTTTTTTTCGGTTCGATTCGGTTTATCGGTTGTTCAATGAAAAAATCACTTGAAACTATAAATTTTTTTAAAAAATTACCTATTCGGTTCAATATGGAACAAATGGGTTCCATATGGAAAACCCGAACCGAACCGAACCGAATCAAAAGAATTGAGACTTTAAACCGAACCGAACGGTTTTACTCGGTTCGTGTCGGTTTTTCGGTTTTCTCGGTTTCGTTGCTCAGCTCTAGTTTCGGTAAGGGATTCCTTTCACTATTTCACTAGTATGGCTGTGAACCATGGTTTTAACTTATAACTGAATTCGGATATCTTTCATCTATGTTGCTCCGACACTTCATTTTTCTTAAAGTACCGGTGTTGGATGCATTATCAGTGCATCATTCTCTACCTATGTTGTTTATTTTGTAGGTTATATATGCTGTAAGTTTGCTTCAACACTTCTCAGTTTTAAATACTTGTACCCGGCCTGTATTGGATATGGGTATGGCGATATCCCCCTCAAATACACACTAAATACATAGAAAAACTTCGAAATAACTGAGTATACCCATGTCAAAAAAATACCTATATCCGACACTCGAACCCTAGTCTGTAAACTTTCTTAATGTTAATAGTTTTCTAGTGGGACTTGGCATTAAACCTGTGGGCTCATTTCACATAACTTAATGCAGTCATTGAATTTCCAGTCTGTGGAGGGTACAACAGGTACCAGTTTGTTGACAAAATGCTTCAATGATAGTTGTGGACCATATTGTACTCTGCTGCTCAACATTTTGGTTCACTGAATAAAGACATAAAAGATAAAAAAAAAAGGAGGGATATGTACTCACATTTAACACTTTTATGGCCGTGGGACTGATATTCGAATTTGGGTGTTAGTATCCGATGAGTATATATCTGATATGGGTGTCCTATACCCGTATCTGAATGTGTTCGGACATGGATGTCAAACACAATCTTAAAGTAAAGCGTCGGAGCAATAGAGTCGCAGGATGCCTTTGTTTAGAGTGATCAAGAGGAGGCCAATATCGACCGGTTTCTAGATATGATTGTCGTAGAATGCTCTGTCTCAATGAAAGTTGCATTTGAATTACTATGTTAATATGATGTATGTAACTGCGATTTCTTTATTTTTCATGAAACACCCTTGTTCAACATCCGTGCTCGGTACATACTCAGATATGAGTAAAATGTATAATCATCCAAATATATGATCAACCGCTTGAGTGGAATTTTTTTGTCCGTTTTTTTTGTTCATTTCGAATCCCTTTATTGACATTGGCTTTGTTACTTAAAAATGCAGCCATGGATGTCAAGAGCTTATGATCCATGCACCGAGAGATATTCGAAAGTGTATTTTAATCGCCCAGAAGTCCAGAAGGCACTTCATGCAAATGTAACAGCTCTCTCTTATCCATGGCAAACATGCAGGTATGCTAATTGATTTTACAGATTTCAGTTAATTTCTTTCCGATGACAACCCTCTATGTTGCTCCGACTTTTCGATTTTGTTGGAAGTAGTTGTCTTTGACAGTGGTGTTTGATGTTTATTCGTACATCGTGATGCAGACACAACACCTTATACATATTGAACATAAATCTAATACACATGCCTATGTCTGAAAATCTATTGTTTTACAGTGATATCGTCGGAAATTACTGGGCGGATTCTCCTCTCTCTATGCTTCCTATATACAAAGAACTAATTGCTGCTGGTCTTAGGATTTGGGTATACAGGTAAGTTCCTTTCTTCCTTATCTCTGCAAAGCGTCATATGGGACTGGATTGTGCGTGGAACGAAAAATTGGATTTTAATATCTAATTACTTTAAATTCTGAATGTATTGAATGGTATTTGTTAAAGATAAATGCATGAACCAACTCGCATTTGTGCAGTGGAGACACTGATGCAGTGGTTCCGGTAACTGCGACTCGATACTCCATTGATGCTCTGAAGCTTCCTACTGTTACTAATTGGTACCCTTGGTATGACAATGGAAAGGTGATTACCTATAAACTCCATACATCACTTAAAATCATCATTCTATTATCTGTGTTGGAAAACTTGAACCAGTTCAATTGATAATTATTGTCCTGATTTTTATTCATCGACTGTTTATATAGCGTCAAAAACTTTGGCTTCTGGGTTTTTGGATACTATTAGTTGCAATGATTACATATTCATCCTTTTAAGTAGTAAAATAAGGTTGAGAAGCAACCAAAATATTGGAAAAAGAAAACAGGTTTCGTCAAGCGATTTCAAACACAATACAATTACAATACACAAATGAAAACACACACTAAGCACGACACGGATTGGATTGTTGAGAAATTGTTTTATTTGTTGATCCAGGTTGGTGGATGGAGCCAAGCATACAAAGGGTTAACACTGGTAACAGTCACTGGAGCTGGTCATGAGGTTCCGCTCTACCGTCCCCGTCAAGCTTTTATTCTTTTCCGATCTTTCTTGGAGAACAAACCAATGCCAGGTTAAAAGAATCCTATCGAAATCAATGTTACTCGGACTTGGGTGAGTGTTCAGATATAGGCATGTATTATAGATATTTTAGTGAAACGAAGAGTCCGAGCATAGGTTTGTATTATTATTCATTTTCTTGATGAATAAGCAAAAAGGATTATATAATTTTTTATACATGAAATGAAGTAATCGAATGAACAAAAAGATCTCGAGTGATCTCTAAATTGTAGAATATTTGTATGACATGTATTCTTTATAGGATTTTCAATAATTGAAACTGCAGATATTGTTCCAGGTTCTGAAGTGCCTTTGTATGGTAGAACTGTAATTTTTTGAAATTATATATATTCTTTATTATTAGTTAATTCTTATCGTTAGCAAGTTTTCCTTTTTGTGAAAAAAATTAATAAGGGTAGTTCTGCGGTGAGGCGCCTAAAAAACGGCTAATATACGGCGTGACCGGTTAAACAAGTGACCGGTTAAAATTTAGACCGGTTATGTTATATTATTTAACCGGAAATATTATCAAGTATAATAATATATTAGGTAACGCTTATATAATGTAATAGATAGCGCTTATATAATAAAATAGGTATTTAACGGGAAATATTATTAAGTACAATAACATATTAGGTAGTGCTTATATAATGTAATAGGTAACGCTTATATTGACCTATTTTATAAGTAAATCGGTATATTTATACCGGTAACATTGCAAATTTACCTATTACATTATAATTATCGGTTTCGATATTTCATAAAGTGTCGAAACTTTTTATAAAAGTATCGACACTTTATGCTTGCACCTCGTTGGGCATTAATATTTCATTCCGGACAAAAATATCGACACAAACTAAAAAAGTGTCGATACATGATTTAGACATATTCATACTTATGGGTTTCGATGTTTTAGGGATCGATATTTTTTTATAATGTATCGACACTTTTTAAGGGTACACCTTTTTTGGCATTCATTCTAGACCGTAAGTATCGACACTTTATGCTTGCACCTCGTTGGTTTTAATATTTCATTCTGGACAAAATATCGATACAAACTAAAAAAGTGTCGATACATGATTTAGACCTTCTCTCATAAACCGGTATATTATACCGGTTTCATTGAACATTATACTTATAGGTTTCGATGTTTTAGGGATCGATACTTTTTTAATAAATGTATCGACACTTTAAGGGTACACCTTTTTGGCATTCATTCTAGACCGTAAGTATCGACACAACTTTAACAAGTGTCGATACTATATGCTGACCTATTTTAGCATAAAACCGGTATTTATATCGGTTACATTGTAAATTTACCTAATACATTAATTATTGGTTTCGATGTTTTCGGGATCGATACTTTTAATAAGTGTCGATACTTTATGTTGACCTAATATATTATGCGTGCACCTCGTTTGGGTCGATACTTGTTACATTGTTAATTTACCTATTACATTATAATTATTGGTTTTGATGTTTTTTGGGTCGATACTTGTAGTTATTGTACATACCTAAATATGTACTGCGAATTTAATGTTGTACCCACCCTTTAACTACCACTACCAATACCACATCCTATTGAAAGCAGCACGACTAAAACATGTTCAAAATGAACCTTTGCTTACATCTCCATCAACTCCTGGACCACTGAACTTGCACAACAAAATTTTTGCCATGGATAATACTGATGTAGATAATGTTAAGCCAACCGAGGAATGCCATGAAGTACATAATGTTGATGAATCTGACAAATTGGTTGGTCAGTTCTTCTATTCACGTGATCAAGCTTGGTACTTTTACAAGGGATTCACACGGGAACATAGGTTTAGTGCACGTAAGGGAACAACACGGCTTGACGTGGAAGGGAATGTGAAGACACAAGAATTTTGTTGTTCCAAAGAAGGGTTTCGAGTATCAAAAGTCAATACTGTTGATCGTCAACGTGCTCATACGCCAGTCACAAGAACATGATGTAAGGCTAGAGTCGTAGTTACAGCAACAAATACAAACGATCAGTGGGTTATAAGTAAGTCTGGTCAGAAACATAATCATGCATTGTGCACACCTGCTATGACACCATTTATGCGTTCTAATAGAGCTGTAAGTAAGGCTGATATCGATGAGGCAACAACATTGAAAGAGGTCGGTGTTGGCACGTCACAAGTAATGAACTATTTAACGCAGCAGGCAGGGGGCTATCATAATGTTGGATTTACACATAAAGACCTCTACAATGCACTTCAAAGAGGTAAAACAAAGGAAATCGTCGATGGGGATGTGAATGCGCTTATTGCCTACTTTGATTTTAAGAAACATGATGATCTCGGGTTTTTTATGACACTCGTAGACGAATCGGGGGCATTGTATAATCTATTTGGTCGGATTCTACATCGAGATCGGATTACACATGCTTCGGTGATGTAATTGCGTTCGACACAACGTACAAAGATAATTTGTATGGTCGACCAATTATGCCTATTGTTGGTGTCAATCATCACCATAACACAATTGTGTTTGCCACTGCCATAATCGCTGACGAGACGTCTCAATCTTTCGAGTGGGTGCTACAGAATATTTTAGAAGCCATGATGAATAAATCACCTATTTCAGTTGTCATCGATGGGGATAGGGCAATGCAGAGGGCTATCAAATATGTTATCCCTTATGCTAAGCACAAATTATATTCTTGGCATCTTTCTCGCAATGCACAAGCTAACATTGGTGACCCAAAGTTTACAGCAACATTCTCAAAATGCATGGCTTCCTGGTGGACAACCAAGGAATTTGATATTCAATGGCATTCGGTGTTTCAGAATTCAACGTCCAAAGCATCAATGGGTGATTGAGAAGGGAAATACACGACACTTATGGGCAAGCATATCTAACCGGTCATTTCTTTGCCAATATTCGTCAACACAAAGGTGCGAGTCTATGAATGCTTCACTAGCTATTGCACTGAAACACAAGAAGACATATTTAGATGTTGTTCGTGAAATTGAAGATGGAATTAGTAGAATGCGTATGAACGAGTTGAAAGCGGATTACTTAAGTTCCCATACGAAGCCCTTCCAGATCACAAAACTGGTCGACCTTGAAAGCCATGCCGCTGCGATTTTTTACCCGTGAATCTTTCGTGTGTTCCAAGATGAACTTATACGGGAGACATTGTACCGGATTGAGGCAGAGATTAAGTCCTTATGCCGCTGCGATTTTTTACCGTGAATCTTTTCGTGTGTTCCAAGATGAACTTATACGGGAGACATTGTACCGGATTGAGGCAGAGATTAAGTCCTTATCAGATGAATGTCAACATTATATTTTGTCAAATTACGCAGAAAAAATAGGAAATTTGAAATTAGTTTTGATTCTCATACGAAAACTCTAATTTGCTCCTGCAAAAAATTTGAGACCGTTGGACTTCCGTGTCGCCATCAACTTCACATTTTGAAGCACTTGGACTACACATATTTGCCCGGGACTTGATTCAAAGTAGGTGGACTAATGATGCGAAGGCTTCTGCACCCAGTTATGTTGATTTGAATATGTCTCCAGAAGTGATACAAATGGCAAGGTTCGCTGCTCTACGTTCAACGTCAAGTAGGTTATGCTACATTGCATCAAAGACAGACGAGTCTTTCAAAACCGCAAGAGATGAGATGAAAAAACTAATAGAAGAATTAGAAAACTCGTTTGGTTTGAATGATTCAGTCAACCAGAGCATTGTAGTAAACAACGTTCGTGACCCTCAACGAAAACAACGCAAGCGAAAAGAAGTGCCGAAGAACAAGGTCGAGAAAATTAGGCGATGTGGGTACTGCAACGGTGAGGGACATAACAAACTAACATGTCCTCAAGTCAAGCTCAGTTTGAGTACAAGCACACAGCCTACATCAACTGATTTTTCGAAGACGGAATGGAATGACAACGATCTCCATATATCGTAAGTATCACATGACTCCTATTATGTATAAGAAACATGTACATATAAATATTTTGAATGAAGGAAAAAAACCGCGTTTAAAAATTAGCGACACAATATTAAAAAGTGTCGATATAGGTTGTAGACATATTCGTCATAAAACCGGTATATTTATACCGGTTATATTACAAAATTATCTATTACATTATAATTCTGGGTTCCGATGTGTAAATGTCGACACTTTTTGACAAGGTATCGACACATTTTTCTTCCATTCTGGACATAAAGTACCGACACAATATTAAAAAGTGTCGACATAGGTTGTAGACCTATTCGCTAATAAAACCGGTATTTTATACCGGTTATATTACAAAATTATCTAGTACATTATAATTCTGGACATAAAGTACCGACACAAAATTAAAAAGTGTCGATATAGGTTGTAGACCTATTCGCTCATAAAATCGGTATATTTATACCGGTTATATTACAAAATTATCTATTACATTATAATTCTGGGTTTCCGATGTGTAAATGTCGACACTTTTTGACAAGGTATCGACACATTTTTCTTCCATTCTGGATATAAAGTACCGACACATATTAAAAAGTGTCGATATAGGTTGTAGACCTATTCGCTCATAAAACCGGTATATTATATCGGTTATATTACAAAATTATCTATTACATTATAATTCTGGGTTCCAATGTGTAAATGCCGACACTTTTTGACAAGGTATCGACATATTTTTCTTCCATTTTGGACATAAAGTACCGACACAATATTAAAAAGTGTTGACATAGGTTGTAGACCTATTCGCTAATAAAACCGGTATACTTATACCGGTTATATTACAAAATTATCTAGTACATTATAATTCTGGACATAAAGTACCGACACAAAATTAAAAAGTGTCGATATAGGTTGTAGACCTATTCGCTCATAAAACCGGTATATTTATACCGGTTATAATACAAAATTATCTATTACATTATAATTCTGGGTTCCAATGGGTAAATGTCGACACTGTTTGACAAGGTATCGACACATTTTTCTTCCATTCTGGACATAAAGTACCGACACAATATTAAAAAGTGTCGATATAAGTTGTAGACATATTCGCTCATAAATCCGGTATATTTATACCGATTATATTACAAAATTATCTATTACATTATAATTCTGGGTTCCGATGTGTAAATGTCGACACTTTTTGACAAGGTATCAACATATTTTTCTTCCATTCTGGACATAAAGTACCGACACAATATTAAAAAGTGTCGATATAGGTTGTAGACCTATTCACTCATAAAATTGGTATATTTATACCGGTTATATTACAAAATTATCTATTACATTATAATTCTGGGTTCCGATGTGTAAATGTCGACACTTTTTGACAAGGTATCGACACAT